AAAATTTCTATGTTACTTACACTTTTCAGGTTTCTTAAGATGCATTCAAGCTTGTCATTTTAAAAATATATTTTAAAAAGTGGAATTGAGTTTATAAATCAATGTCTGGTAATTCTACTACTGCAATTCTGTTCAGATTCATGTCCATGGTCTACTGCTGGTCCTCACTCATGCTGTGCTGTCTCTGGGTATGCTAGAGTATCTTTGACTATGTGCTGGTCATCGCCCTTTGAAATTTATTTTTAGTTAACTCCTAGCATCTTAGAACAAATATGCTTTCCTCCAGAGGCATTTCATTTGTTTTTGCCAGGCACCTCGAGCTATAACAGGTGAGTCTGCCTCAAAGCAAATTCACCTCAAGCTGTAACAGGTGAGTCTGCCTCAAACCAAATTCACCTCGAGCTGTAACAGGTGAGTCTGCCTCAAACCAAATTCACCTTAAGCTATAACAGGTGAGTCTGCCTCAAACCAAATTCACCTCCAGCTATAACAGGTGAATCTACCTTAAACCAAATTCACCTCCAGCTATAACAGGTGAATCTACCTTAAACCAAATTCACCTCCAGCTATAACAGGTGAATCTACCTTAAACCAAATTCACCTCCAGCTATAACAGGTGAGTGTGCCTCAAACCAAATTCACCTCGAGCTATAACAGGTGAGTCTGCCTTAAACCAAATTCATGGTATGATGTTTCCTGGTCCACCCTGAGTATGTACGTCCAGGGGGCAAATTCATATGTGGGCCTTTCTATGACCACGAGCTGTCAATAATTGTATTTTCTCCCCTTTCTTTTTCTTCTCCTATTCTGCTCAGTGCCAAGGCTGCCTTTCCACAACCCCCCACGCCAAGTTTAGGTCTAGTTCACTTTTACTCTGAGGATATAGCTCTTTGGGGTCCCAGTTTATTGTGGGAAGAGTCTCCCATTACACTTCCTAATTAGAGTGGGTGCCCAGGGACTTAATTTCCATCCCACCTGCCTGCCCCTCTCAGGCTACAGAAGTCTCTGACTTTATCAGTTTAAAAAAAATTATTTTTACATTTATTTATTTATTTATTTTTCTGAAATGGAGTCTTGCTCTTTTGCCCAGGCTGGAGTGCAGTGGCGCGATCTCGGCTCGCTGCAACTTCCTGGGTTAAAGGTGGAGAGAATAGCTTGAGGCAGGAGAATCGCCTGAACCCGGGAGACAGAGGTTGCAGGGAGCTGAGAATCACACCATTACACTCCAGCCTTGGCCACAAGAGCGAGACTCCATCTCAAAAACAAAACAAAACAAACAAACAAAAAAAGAAAACACTGGAAAGTACATAAGACTTTAGAGGCTGAAAGCAAAACCAAGCCAGGCTAGTATGAAGGTTCCTCAAACATTTAAACACTGAATTACCATTTTATCCAACAATTCTACTTCTGGATATATACAGAAAAAAGGTAAGACTTGAGCAGCTATTTGTACAGCAACATTTATGGTGGCATTATTCACAATAGCCAAAAAGTGGAATCTGTGTCCACCGACAAACAGATAAACAAAATGTGATATATATAAAAATGGAATATTCAGTCTTCAAAAGGACTGAAATTCTGATACATGCTACAACATGAATGAATCTTGAAGACATTATCCTAAATAAGCCAGATACAAAAGTATACATATGATCCCGCTTACAGTAGGTACCTAGAATAATATTTACAGAGACAAAGTAGAAAAGAAGTCACCAGGGGCTGAAGGAGGGAGGAATAGGGAGTTATTGTCTTGGATAAATTTCAGTTTGGGATGTTAAAAAAAAAAAGTGGCTGGGTGCAGTGGTTCACACCTGTAATCCCAGCACTTTGGGAGGCTGAGGAGGGTGGATCACCTGAGGTTGGGAGTTCAAGACCAGCCTGACTAAAATGGAGAAACCCCATCTCTACTAAAAATACAAAATTAGCTGGGCGTGGTGGTGCATGCCTGTAATCCCAGCTACTGTGGAGGCTGAGGCAAGAGAATCACTTGAACCCGGGAGGCAGAGGTTGCAGTGAGCCGAGATTGTGCCACTGCACTCCAGCCTGGGTGACAGAGACTGTCTCAAAAAAATAAATAAATAAATAAATAAAAGAATTTTCTTTTTTTCAGTATCTACTTAACACTGCTATACCAATGAACTTCTTCCTTCTGAATCATTACATAATTCTGTGACAGATTATTTATATATATATAATTAAATAAAATGAGGCATGAGATAAATGTATAGTTAACTTATTTTAAAATACAGACATAAGTTTTAAAAACGTATTTTAGTACTGGGATTCCTTAAATTTTTCTCTATTTTCAAAAAAAACAGCACTTAAGAGTCTAGTTCAGAAGACATTATGACACTTCTGGGTAAAAATACTACACACCAGATAATAACATCAAATTAGAAATTGGCAACAGTGTAAGAAACATTCTGCATTCATTATGACTTCACCAGTGACACGTGAGTTACTATGCTGCAAACACAAAAACATCCCAATATGTCTATGAATATATTCATTCCAAACTAGCAACATAATTGCTGAGAACAAAAACAACATATATAACAGTGTATCTCTTCCTGCTTTAGACATATAGTAACAAGAGCTAATACCAGTACTTGCTCACGGCACACAATGTACCAAAGATGGTTCTAAGTGATACATATATTAGGTTGGTGCCAAAGTCGCTGCAGTAATGGCAAAAACCATGTTTCCTTTTGCACCAACCTAATATATACATATATATTATATACACGCACTCATTAATTTCTCGTAACAATCCTTTGAGGTCTCTATCTTTATTATCCCCATTTCAAAGATGGGAAAATCATGGCAGAAGGGAATTTGAGCTTTCCTGAGGTCATGCAGCCAGTGAGAGGTGAAGCCTGGGTGTGAGGCCAGGCTCCAGAGCCCACTCTTGCGACACTACGCTCTGGCACCTCTCACACACGTATGGAAAGCTGGGGAAGGTGGCCAGCACTCGACACTTGACACAGTCCATACAACTGAATTTTGACAACCAAGTTCTCCACTTTCTTCTAATAAGGAAACTGAGGTCCAGAAAATAAGAGAGAGAGGTGGGAGTGAATTCATCTCTCGCATCTTTAAAGCTTCAGGATCCAGCATAGACAATAAAGTCCCTGTGGCCAGAAGTTATGCGAGAAGATTGATAAAGCCAAACTGAGGAGCAGAAGCACAGGGCAGGGTGGTCGGGCAGGACAGAGGTGATAAAGGGTCTGAAGGAGGCCCCGTGGGGCTCCACTACCTCTGAGCTTCCAGAGTCTCTATGTGCCTGACTCTCTCTCACCCCGTTGTTCTAGCCTTCTTTCCTACCGAGCAAACATTGCCAGGGAAGGTGATGCTTCTGAAGCTGCACATCTCAGGGACCCTTACCCAGAGCTTCAAAAAGTGGATCGATCAAGAGGATTCACTACATTTTTCATATTAAAAAAGGCTGAAAGTTTGGCAAAATATCTGTTCAGATTTCTAGGTTTTTTTTTTTTTTTTTTTAAGACACAAGGTTTCACTCTGTCACTCAGGTGGGAGTACAGTAGCATGATCATGGCTCACTGCAGCCTCAACCTCCTGGGCTCCAGTGATACTCCTGACGCAGTGTTACAAAATTGGCTTAACCAGGACCTACTCAAGCGGGAAGGCCAGTCCACACTCACAGAGCCAGAAACACAGCAATGCTTTCTGAGGTCACACGTGCATGACTCCAGAGGAATCTGCATGCAATGCTTAGGGCTGGGTTTGGTGCTGCCTCACAAAGCCATTACATTTCTAGACAAAGAATTAAGTTTGTAGGGAGTGGGTTATCTGTTATTTCTTGCTAAATTCATCTAAGCTAGTATGATGCTAAAATTTATCTCCTAAACTGGGATACTTCAGGCACATACCACCATGCCTGGCTAATTTTTTAAATTAATTAATTAATTTTGAGACAGGGTCTCACGCTGTCACCCAGGCTGGAGTGCCGTGGCACAATCTCAGCTCACTGCAACCTTCAAGCAATCCTCCCTCTTCAGCCTCCCAAGTAGCTGGGACTCCTCAGGTGTGTGCCACAATGTCTGGCTATTTTTTTTGTATCTTTAGTGGAGACAGGGTCTCGCCATGTTGCCCAGACTCCAAATTTTTAATTTTTTTTACAGAGACAGAGGTCTTGCTATGTTGCCCAGGCTGGTCTCAAACTCCGGAGCCACCGCACACGGCCTGTGATTCTATTTTTCATAAATATGTCAGCTTTAGAAACTTGGTGCACGTTTGTGAGACGAAGCACCGAAAAACAATCACTGTGATTACTACCGCTGTTCCCATCATTTATCATCATGTACCTTTGGGCAAGGCACTGTGCACAGGCAATACACAGTTTAAACCTCACCAAAGTCTGCATCAGAATTTCTGCGGAACAGGCACCTGCAGCAGAACTGCTTGGTACGCTTGTTAAATAACGAACATTTTTGAACTCCACCCTAGATCTGGTCAGTCAGAATCCCTAGTGGAAAGCCTCAGGATCAGTATTTTAAGCCAGCCCTCCCAAGCGATTTTTATCTTGGCATATAAATCCCCATTTTACATACAAGGTATCAAAAGGTAAAGTGACTTGACAAAGACACCATCACGAAACATAAGATTTGAACTCAATTAAGCTTGTGGTTATTTTAAGACAGCACAAAAGCAAGTGAGATCCCCTTTAAAACCTGCCAACCAGTATAATGTTACACAATTTCCCAAACCATTAATCTCTGTAAACACACAGAAAGGACTCCTTTAAATTTTAAAACAAAAAAAAAAAAAAAAGAATGATACGCCCTCTGAACTCCACACATTTCATTCTGACCAGATTTAACCTTTGTTTGTTTAGCAATTTCAGTGCTGCATCAAATGGCACTGCCTGTATCAGAAGAGCAACCAAATTCCCGCAGCGATGAGACAAACAGGAAACTCAGAGCAGAGTAAATCCACAAGCTATGACAGAAACAGAGCCGTAAAAAGTAGTTATCTCTTACCACAAGAGGTTGACTTTCTGTCCACCAGGTTTACACGCCTGGTTTCAGTGCGAAGTTTTTCATCTGTGTTCTCCACCAGGTTGGCAAGGTCGTCAATTATCTCTAGAAAGGAAAGATACATGATTACTATTCCTGAAATCACCTGGTTCACATCACAGTATCACAGCTGTGGTTGTTCTTCCTAGCAATAATGATCTCAAGTGCAGTAATTGAAAAGGCACAGAACTCAGGTCGATTCTTTGAAAACGGCAATACTGATTGTAAAAGGAAAAAAAAAAAGTAGTAAAGAAGAAAACTGATTTAACACAATTCCAGCAGACAGGAGAAATGCCACGTTCAGAGGAAAGAAAGCATGACCCACCGAATTTATGCCTAGCCAAGCTGTCATTCAAGTATAAAGGAACAGACAGGCCGGGTGCGGTGGCTCACGCCTATAATCCCAGCACTTTGGGAGGCCGAGGAGGGAGGATTGCCTGAGGTCAGGAGTTCGAGACCAGCCTGGCCAACATAGGGAAACCCCATCTCTGCTAAAAATACAAAAAATTAGCCAGGTGTGGTGGTGTGCATCTGTAATCCCAGCTACTTGGGAGGCTGAGGCAGGAGAATTGCTTGAACGCAGGAGGCAGAGGTTGCACTGAGCCGCCACTACATTCCAGCCTAGGTGACAAAAAAAAAAAAAAAAAATAAGGAACAGACAGCATAGTAGACTTCAGGGACTACCTGGGCTCTTCTTGAGAAAACTACATGATGAAGAAATCAAGCCAATCAAAAGATAAATAAAGAGATGATGGAGAGAACAGAATCCATTTAAATACTGAACTAAGAGTAAACAAAACATGGATTAGATAACAGAAAGGTACAGAAATGTCACAACAGTAACAATGTAATTCCAACTGAAAAATTAGTCAGTGGTTGCCAGTGGGGAAGGAAGGTGAAAAGTTGAAAGTGCTAATTTCTTCATCTCTCGCAGTGAGGCATATTGAGCAGTTGAAAAGTTAATCATACAGAAATGTGTAGCCTTTTAAAATCACCAAAACTTTAATGTTTTTTGTTAAGCTTGAGGGATCTTTTAGTAATTACTATCTCTTGTAAAGAATCCTTGATGTGGGCTGGGTGTGGTGGCTCACACCTATAATCCCAGCACTTTGGGAGGCTGAGGCAGGCAGATCACCTGAGGTTGGGAGTTCGAGACCAGCCTGACCAACATGGTGAAACCCAGTCTCTACTCAAAATACAAAATTAGCCAGTCATATGGTGGTGCATGCCTGTAATCCTAGCTACTAGGTTGGCTGAGGCAGACTTGCTTGATCCCGGGAGGTGGAGGCTGCAGTGAGCTGAGATTGCACCACTGCACTCCAGTTTGGGCGACAGAGAGAGACTCAGTCTCAAAAAAAAAAGAAAAGAAAAGAAAAAGAATCCTTGATGTGAAATTTGTTTTTTTAACCCTAATCTTTTTAAGTGAAATTGAGCCCTTCACAACATTTAAAATAGCATATATAGTACGATCTTAACTATGTAAAAGTATTTGTATCCATCTTTTTATATTTACAAATCTACAGGGATATATGTGAATAATATTAATTTAATGCTAATAATGATAATTTCTAGATGGTAGGATGCTGTGTGACTGCTGCCTGCTTCCTTGCATTTTTCTGTGTTGCATGAATTTCTTTCTTAATGTTTTTTTTAAGAGACAGGGTCTTGCTCTGTTACCCAGATGGGATACAGGGTACCGTGATAGCTCACTGCAGTCTTCAGGGTTCTAGCAATCCTCCCATCTCAACCTTCTGAGTAGCTGAGACTGTAAGCATGTGCCACCACTCCCAGGTAATTGTTTAAACGTTGTGTAGAGATGAGGCCCTGCTATGTCACCCAGGCTGGTCTCAAACTCCTGGCCTCAAGAGATCCTCTTGCATCAGCCTCTCAAAGTGTTAGGATCACAACCACGAGCCACTGTGCCTGGCCTGAATTTCTTACAGTGATCATATATAGTCATGTGCCACATAATGACGTAATGACGTTTCAGTCAATGACGGACCATGTCTACGACAGCGGTACCATAAGTGGTACAGTATTATGATGTTATAATACCATATTTTTAGTGTATCTTTTCTAAGTTTGGATACAGATTTTTTTTTTTTTTTTGAGATGCAGTCTCACTTTTGTTGCCCAGGAGGGAGTAGAGTGGCGTGATAGCGGCTCACCACAACCTCTGCCTCTCAAGTTCAAGCGATTCTCCTGCATCAGCCTTCCAAGTAGCTGGGATTACAGGTGCACATGACTCATAATTTTTGTATTTTTGTATTTTTAGTAGAGATGGGGGTTTCATCATGTTGGCCAGGCTGGTCTCGAACTCCTGACCTCAAATGATCCACCCGCCTCGGCTTCCCAAAGGGCTGGGATTACAGGCGTAAGCCACTGCGCCTGGCCATGTTTACCATCTTGTTACAACTGCTTACATGCAATAACATGCTGTACAGGTTTTTAGCCTACGGGCAATAGGTCATACCATACATACAGTCTAGGTGTGTAGCAGGCTTTACCATCTAGTGCTATGTGAGTACCCTCCATGATGTTCGCACAATTATATAACTACCTAACGACACATTTCTCAGAACATATCCCTGTCAAGGAATGTATGACTATTATATTTTTCTTTTTTTTTTCCCTCCCTCCTTCTCCCTCCTTCCTGTTTTTATAGTAACTGCTTTGGAGACATGTTGTTCAATACCAGTCACCATTTTTCTTAAAGCATTAAGTAAAGCAAACAAATAAATCAAATGAAGTTTCCAGAATGATGTGTGAGCTGAATTCTGAAAGCTACATGGGTGAAAAAGCAGGAAAAGGGCAACCCATGCAAAAAGAATCGTATCTGAAAGGCACAAAGGAGTTGGGCGCTCCTGCTTCTTGCCTCCTGCAGCACTTCCTACAAACCTCTTACTTATAGACCCTATAGTTACATTCCACCGATTTGTTTACATGTCTTTAACAGGAAGATTATGATATAAACTAATTTTTATTCGTCCTTATACCTCCCACACCTGGGAGAATGCCTTGTCTACAGCAAGATAAAACAAATATGAAAAGGGAAAGACAATCAATGGGCTGGTGGGTCATGCCTGTAGTCCCAGCACTGTGGGAGGCCAAGGTGGGCGGATGACAAGGTCAGGAGTTTGAGACCAGCCTGGCCAACATAGCGAAACTCCGTCTCTACTAAAAATACAAAAATTAGCCAGGCATGGTGGTGCACGCCTGTAATTCCAGATATTTGGCAGGCTGAGGCAGGAGAATTGCTTGAACCCAGGAGTTGGAGTGAGCTGAGATCATACTACTGTACTCCAGCCTGGGCAACAGAGCAAGACTCTGTCTTGGGGAAAAAACAAACAAACAATGTCCTAACTTATCTTTGTTTCTAGTCCTGATTCATTTTAATTCATTTTCCATACAATACTCAGAGCATATTTTAATTCTCTCATATTTCAATGAATTAAAATTTAAATAGCCACATGTATCGAACAACTCAGCTCTAAAGCAAGAACTTAAAAAAGAAACCAAGAAAACACACACACACACGCCCTACCAAGAGGTATAGTTTTAAAATAAAAATTAACAGAAGAAATAAAATTAAATACTAAAAATGTATGATTCAGGAAAGGGGTAAAGAGGAACAAAGAATAGATGGGACAGAAAGAACAGAAATATAATATCTATCTGGCATGCTTAAATTCAATTGTATCAATAGTTGCATTAATGTAAACAGACTAAACTTTTCAATTAAAAAACAAAGGATATCAAGCAACTTTTTTTTTTTTTTTTTTTGAGATGGAGTCTTGCTCTGTTGCCCAGGCTGGAGTGCAGTGGCGCGATCTTGGCTCACTGCAAGCTCTGCCTCCCGGATTCACACCATTCTCCAACTCAGCCTCCCAAGTAGCTGGGACTACAGGCGTCCGCCACCAGGCCCTGTTAATTTTTTTGTCTTTTTTAGTAGAGACGGGGTTTCACCGTGTTAGCCAGGATGGTCTCAATCTCCTGACCTCACGATCCGCCCACCTCTGCCTCCCAAAGTGTCAGGATTATAGGCGTAAGCCAGTGTGCCCGGCCTTTTTTTCCTTTCTTTAATTATACTTTAAGTTCTAGGTACATGTGCACAACATGCAGGTTTGTTACCTAGGTATACATGTGCCATGTCGGTTTCCTGCACCCATCAACAACTCGTCACTTACTTTAGGTATTTCTCCTAACGCTATCCCTCCCCCAGAAAGATTATTTTAAAAAGATGACACAACTATATACTTTGCTATGGAACTCACTATAAGGCACAGTGTTTGTATGACAGTGTTGGCAAAGCTATATTAATATCAGACCAGACAGACTTCTAGAAAAGGAGTATTATTAGATATAAAAAGGAACTTCTCATCGTGATGAAAGGACACACGTCAAAAATGGGAAATTCTGTCATTATTTGAAAATTAAGGAAAACAACTCTGATTTCCCCACAGGGCAAAGATGAAATCACAAGGGAAAGCAGAAAATATACTGAAATGAGTACGAAGGACAACTGCTGTAGACTGGATGTTTGTGTGCCTTCAAAATTACGTTGAAGCCTCATCACCAGTGTGACGATATTTGGATGTGGGGCCTTTGGGAGGTGAATGGTGAGAAGAGTAAAGCCCGCATGAATGAATGAATCCCGTTCCATGCATGAGATTTATGACCTTATAAAAGAGTTCCTAGAGAGCTCCCTTATGTCTTCCACCAAGTGAAGTTACAATGAAGACAGCTGTCTGTGAACCAGGAAATAGACCCTCACCAGACACCAGATCTGTAGGCACCTTGATCTTGACTTCCCAGCCTCCATAACGGTGAAAATTTCTGTTGTTTATAAGTCATCCAGTTGATGGCATTTTATTATAGCAGCTTGAATAGAACAAGACAACAATGTAGCACAAAAGTTTTTGGGATGCTACTAAAGCGGTACTTAGGAAGAAATTTATTGCTCTAAATGCATATATTAGTAAAGAAGAAAGATATAAAATCAATGATCAGACTCAAGCAGATAATAGTATGATCATCTCAATAAATGCAGAAAAAGGGTATGATGA